CCCCAAAACCCCAAAACCCCAAAACCCCAAAACCCCTAAACTAAAATCAATAGCAAAATTATCAAAGTGTTTAATAGAAAGGATATAAATTTTTTAATTAATTTGTAAGTTTAAAAAATGGCTGATTTATAATGAAGCTTTTCCTATTTAGCTACCTTTGGTATCATTCAAAGTTAATCCATATCTCATTTTAATACTTAATAAAAGCAAATCTCTCACTATCTAATGGTGCAATATAGTCTGCATAAATACCTTCAACTCGATCCCATTACTGACTCTAATCATTCCATTTTATTACTTATGCCAGATCATTATAGGGATTGTAATGTGAATCGCAAGCTAGCTTCATCTCATCTCATGAATGCAAAAGCAATAATCAATCAAAGTTAACCCAGATTTGATTTTTGCTGTCGAGAATAGCCAACCTTTCACTATCTAAAACAGCGAAATTCATTGCGTAAACTCCTTCGATCTTGTCCCATTATTAGGTTTGATCATTCCATTTCAGCAATTAGTACTCAGCGCGATAATCTTCAGAATCGTATGTTTGTTCAAAATTTGAGTTTTTGTCATCAAGATTTAGACCCCATAGGGAGTTATCGTTTCCAATCTTGAAATTTTCAAATTTTAAATCTCCATAACCTCTTAAGGTATCATCTTAGGTTAGTACTACTGCCTCTTCTCCTCTTAACTCAATATTAGATACTTCAGAGGACTCATATATGGTATAAGGAGTACCCTAAGTGCTCAAATGCTACTTTAGCTTATCAAGAGGCTCATCACTATCTCCAAGACTTTCGTCTCTCAAGATATGATACGCACCTGATGGAGAAATTTCCAATGCAGAAACTCTTTTAACCATTTAGAAATCTTTCTTGCTATACTGATGAAGGTTGTTCTCACTATCGTAGAGAAGCATATTATCTTCGTCTGACCCTGATAAATGAGAGAAATCAATTGCATCAACGTCATACCAGGTTCTAAATCTTCCCCAAATTTCTGTGGTAAAATTATAGTAGTATGTTCCATAAGTTGGCTCCTCAGAATCATCTTATTATCCAAGATATGCAGTTGCCCATAGATTTCCCTCTGGAGAGATTTAAAGGTTGTCCATACTATTTGGATAATCCAACCCCTTTGGTGGGTTTAGTTTTCTCCATTTGGAAGAAGTATCTTGAAGGAAACTTTAACTGTGAGTTTAGGATAATGATGCAAGATCACTTTAATTTGAGCCTGTTAAGTTTATGTAAATTGCAGAAGAGCATGCTAGTGTAGCCAATGCTGCTATAATTAATTTTTTACTACTGATTCCCCTGACCTTTTTAGTGATATTGGGAAGAAGTGACCCATAAAGCTATTGCTCAGTTTTTTCCATTCTCAAATAAAGAAGATATATTTTTTTATTATAAATATCCAGTTTAATAAATAGTGATACATTAATTTACTTGAAATCATAATTTCATGCGAATACATTATTTTGATATTAAGGGGTTTTGGGGTTTTGGGGG